TGTATAACTAATTGGAACCAGTGCTAAGATTTGCATTCTGAGAACTAGATTCACATAGGAATATGTTGGAAATGGTTTAAAGAATTTAAGTCATAATTAATTCGGAAGGATTTTATGCAAAAATTGAGTTTCAGTTAACAAGAACAAAATGCTGCAGCATTTCTTGTATCATTTTAATGCCTGACTTACAACTAAGGTGAAATTTATAGTCTTAGCTTCATTAATTACTGATTAAGAATTCATAGCTACATTTTTGTTATTTCTATCACCTTTTGGCTTCATTTATATTACACTTGTTCCTTTTCATCATTTTAGAGAATTTTGTTAGTCTATTCTTTCACTAAATTCGGTGTTTGCAAGATTTCTACATTTCATCATCGGTGATTTAATCTTCGTGGAAATGAGTTCTGTACTCTGTACAATTTATTACTTGTATAATCCGTGCACTTACGGAATCACACAACAGACGCGAAGACTCATGAACCTATAATTTCAAGCTCTAATAAAATTAATTAATTAAACTCCATAATTAATTAATTAATTTTATTAATTCTAAAAGTTATTCCACTATAAACTTAGAATTGCACTTTTAAATTATAAATATAATTTATTTCCAAGAACTTTAATTGTCCATTTGATATAGTCATTACATATAGATCAATCATTCATAAATAATTTAAAATTAGAGTTACGTGAAATTCATTAACCTCTCTAATTACATCTTTATCCTTGAATACCGTTGATTCTCTAATGAATAGTATATTTATAAAACAAATTCACGAATACGAGCTCGTTACTTATTCAAGTACTGAATCAACCCTTAAGAAAATTATTTATCTACTTCTTCAATAAAAAAGGAATGGATTACATCTCATACATTAACATTTCAGGCTATCTACTTCATCGTGTCTCCAAGATATAAAGAATAAGATTTAGAAAATTGAAATTCATATCGAGTAAATCAAAAGACATAAATCCATGAATAGAAGTATGCTAATAACTAAAGATTAAGATCTTTCTATATGTGACCATCAGGAGACTCAATTCCAATTTCTATTGTTAACGGAAATTATCAGAAATCCAAATTGTGTATGTGTCCTGATTTTACATAATCACATTATGTATAATACACTCATTCAATATCTCTCAATATTAACGATGCGGATAACATCGTTCCATTCTTAATAGGAATGACGTGTATCAATAATGTTTTAATTAAAGATTCTGAAACTTTAATTAAATTCATTATGAACTTATTTCGATTATTATCCTTAAATATTATCCTCATGTATATAATATTTAAGGTTACATAATAATCGCATAATTTTCAATGACATTCATAAAGTATTTAATAATACATGCACATAAAATAATGAAAAATCTCTTTCATTAAATAAATAATAAATATTTTATTATATCTCATATTTTAGGTACACCATTCTTAACATACATTTCGTTAGTGGTTACCTATTAAATAGAATGACGTGGTAAGAATCAAATCTTAATAATTTTTATTTAATATATTACAACAGTGAATTAATATCTTATAACTAAAACAATAATATATATTAATGTGTAAATATTAGAAGAGCCAATAAAATCACATCATATATATATATATAATTTAAAATAGCAAACGTGCCAATATCCCTAGTTTCCAATGTCCACCACCATATATATGTATCTGCCAAAAGTAATGTTTCAATTTCACCAAAGTCCAAAATATGTCCCTCATTTAGCGAAAATGAACAAACCACAAGGCCAACATACGTCAAATCATATCCAATTCTGGCACAATCCCCCAACAAAAATAAATAAATAAACTAGACTCTCTTTCTATTCTCTCTCTTGCCCCAACCCCAACCTGAAGAAAGGGCCAGTATTTCTTACTTCTTAGGCGGAAAATGAATTGTCTGGGACATTCAATCCTAACAAGAACTAAAACTTAAGAGTAATGAATTGCTTTCTGTTATCTTTCATGTACATCACAAATTCAAGTATAATACAAGGATAAAGGTGCAATATTTTAGTTGGGTTTTGTGAGAAAATGCCATCTTTAACTGCATTGATGCTGACCCATTGAAGATAAGCACTTATGATCATAACTTATAAGGAATATTCCGGCAGAAATAGTGCATAAGGCAAGTTTTTTTTTGTTTTCTGCTTTTAACATCATCACAAAATAAGAACATTTTAGATTTTTTTTTAATTTTAAAAAAAGGTGATTACTCAAACAAATATTTGCTCATCAAAGATTAGCTAGACCAACAGGAGAGGCTGCAGATTGTAATAAAAACTTAGACCAGAGGCCTACACATTAGGAAATCAAAGACTTTGGCCAAAAAAGGCCTACAAACATACATAGTTATATATAATCTTCCACACAACAATAACACATAGAACTTGAAAAAGCAAGAATAACAAACTAGCATACATATTAAAGCCTCACTCGCCCTCATGGTAGAATTTTCTTGAAGGCCAGACGGATCATGTCAAGCCATCTTCGAGAGAGAGAGAGAGAGAGAGAGAGGATTCCGAGAAATAATGCCAAAGGATTGAAGTTGCCCTTCTAAGAGAATCCGCCGTCAAGAAGGCGATTCCATTTTCGAACAATCTCGTTTTTTATTTCTTCTTCTTCTTCTGCAGCAGCAACAGTAGTACATTGCAAAAACTCTAAAGAAAATCAAACACCAAAACCCCAGAAAAGAAAAAAATAGATATATCTTGGCTTGTGACCACCCCCACCAATATTTTTTTTTTGGGTTCAAACGTTAAGAGCCATTTTGGTGGGGGTGGTCTCTGCAAAGAGAATTGGGATATTGGTGTTTTTGTTGTTCTTGTTGTGTAGTACTAATAGTAGTACTAAGAGGATTTGATCATGAATATGGGATTGGTTGTTATAGGATCAAATTTTTGCCTTGGTCTCAAGGGCAATCAAAAGGCTGAGATGACTTAAGTAGCCAGTTTGTGGCCACTTTTCACCTAAAGGAACTCAAAAAGAAAAATAAAAAAGAGTGAAGTGAAGTTTTCAGGTTTAGCATCTTCCATGGCATATGCCATTGGCATTTGGCACATCCTCTCTTTGCTCCACATCTGCTTTCATTGTGTCTCTCAAAAGAAAAAAATGTGCTCTTTTTTCAACCCCCCTTTATTTATATATATATATATAGGTCTTATAATATAATATAATGTCAATTTGACGTGCCTAATGCTAGTCTCTTTGTTTTTAATTTATCCTTGCTAGTGAGCTTTTTGGAGAAATCATGCAATGGGAATCCACTATTGGATTTCTCTGGCCCACCAAGTGGGGAATTTTGGGGCAAACCAGTTTGAACCCACCACTTGATCTTCATCACCAATCAATTTAGTTTGTTGATTTGTTCATCTTAGCCGTTGAATTATAGCTTTGCTTAAACATGGTTTTGGACCCTTTTGTTGCCTATTGCAGCCTCACTCTAAGTCCACCAGCACAAAAGCCTTGATTGACATCTTTGTCATCATGGCTCAGAGAAATCTGTAAATTAGTGCTCCATTGGGTCTCAGTTAAACTTAGTTCTTCCACGTGTCACCTATCCTTGGCATGTGTATGCCACATATATCTGGTCTTGTTTACATGGAATCATACTCTCCATAAGGTTACTTTGAATATATAATATAAATTTAGGCCTTTTTTCTTCAGTGTTCTTTAGGATTTAAAATACTGTCCGAATGAGATTATCATTTTCTTAAGTGACACCAGCAACATCATACTGTTATTCGCATCAGGCATAAAAAGGGGTAATAGTCTTTTTTTCTTGATTGCGTAATGCCTATTAAAGAGGGGTGGTTTAACTTTTGTTCCACGAGCCATTGGTTTCCCAAATCTTTTGGGGCGTAAAATGCTCTTGATGAGTCACGTGACACCAATTTAAGAGGTGTTTTGTGAGTTCTAGCAAGACTCCATTTTGGGTAGTGTACATACGTAATTGTGCTCAGTTAAAAGGCAAAAGCAGGAGAATTTGTGATGGGGTCTAAAAATAATAATAATAATAATAATAATAACTACAGTTGTGAACATATAGTTTTTCATTAAATTTTGGTAAATATTCGTATTTTTCTTAATCTAATATGATTCTGATGTGATGCGATCTTCGTCAATATATTTATTCATTATCCTATCGGAATTCTTATATATATAAATAATATACAGACAAGTAGCTTGGTGCTTTTCTGGGGGGAAAAAAAAAATTGAGCTAATACTATTATTTACTATGCAAGCTCTTACTTACTCTAAAAGAATTACTAAATCTCAGTCGCAAGAAATCAAGTCAGATAATGGACCTATGTCTTTATAATTTAATTACAATAAAGAAAATAATATAAAAGAATCCAAGTCGTACACGTGGGATATTTAAGGGGTTTCTAAGTTTCATTACTGAAACATTGTAAAGACAAGTCAAGCATAATGGGGGGTAAATTGGAAAGAAGAAATTATATTGCAGAAGTTGATGACGTGTTAAGCTTTGAAGAATATTATTTGATGCCGAAACCAAAATCCTATGCCTAACTCCAAATGCCCATTTCTTTTCTGGTGTCGACATTCTAGGAAATATATGTATATGCATATGTGTGTATATATATTTATATATAAAGGGGACAAGGGTATATACCATGATCAAGCACACTGTGACCACTAAAAAAACTAGAGTCTATCATGGACAAAATTTGCAAATCTGAACTCAAACCTCTGAAAGCATATGGTATATTACAGAAAGCATCTCTCTAAAAGGGGAATGGAATTAAAGTGATCGAGAGAACATCAGTAACTTGCAAAAGGCAAGGAGCAAAAGTTGTTGATCTATTCAATAGTATTCGGAACGTTTCAGAACCATTTCATCACCAGTCATTAAAGAATAAAAGAAAAAAGAAATTCCAACTTTTTATTTCTTCGACACTTCAATAAATTTCAATATACCAATATCAGTTTTCATCATTTACAACCACTGGCAACTGGTGTTTACGTATATATACCTATACTATTATTCAAAAAATTGAATATTTGGACATGAAGGAAAACTGTGGTATCTTTGCAGATTCATGAAGAAAAAAAAAAAAAAAGAGAGAGAGACTACCTGAGATAGGTAGATTAAAAGATGACATTGCAGTCAATTGGTAAAAGCATGGATTCACGAGAACCACCTCTTGCCAGTCTTGGTTGTCTTGAGCTTCATCACCAGTTCCTCGCGCTGAGCTTCTGCTTGAGCGTATTTGAGGCTCATGTTCGAGTAGCGCTCGAGAATGTCCCTTAGTTCTGCCTCCAGAGATGACTTTGTCATTTCATATTTCTCTTTGGACACCACTTCACCTTCCAGTCTAGATTTCCTACTAGCATCCGCCACCAGGCCTTTTCGGCCCTCAGACACAAGCCTGTGGAGAATCAGAAAATTGGGTTCAGACCAAATTTACAAACTATTTAGGAAATAAGTACAAAATTCTCCATGATTTAAGCCATTATAATCGGACAAGTACCAACCAAAAAGCTTCTATGACCATGCAAGGAATACCAAATGAAAGTATTTCCCTTTAGATTTTGTTAATGCTAAGCTGAATATGGGGGCATTAATCTGTATTAAGGTGTAACATTTTCTAATACTCACTTATTAAGCTGAACTTTGTATTTGTTATTTTCTTCCAAAGCCTTGGCAAGTTGGTCCTCAAGCAACTGAATCTTTGAGCCAGTGTCAGCTCCATTTTCCCGTGGACTTCCATCAGGAAATTCATATCCACTACCGTTCTGCAAAGGTAGGGAAAAAAGAAAAAAGAAGTAGAAGCTTAAGAGAGTCAGAGATCAAATTATCCACAGTTGTCATCAAAAGTCAAATTTTGATTCTATTCCTTTCTTGTTGAAACATAATGATGTTGAGTAAGATTGGTCTCTCTTATATGCAAAAATAGACGACATGAAAGTCTTCCTATTTTGCTAGGCAAAATTTTTCCCGCATCAGTAAATAGAAGCAATGCAATAACTTTCAGATATCCAACCTCTCTTTGACTTTGTGTGCGGTGAGAATCTCGCCCAACTTCTTGTACCATTCCATTCCTTCTGGTGTCGCGATGTTCTCTCCCGCTCTTTGCCATTTCATTCTGTTAAGTTCAAGCACCACAAGAGTTTAAACATTTACAGTCATGTCATCAACAGTAAAATATTGTACCATTATGCAAATTAAGACCAAGTACTACATACTTTTGAGATCTTTGAAGTTTCATGGACAGGATTGACTTTGGTATTGGTCTTGGAAAAGTTCGGAGACTTTCGACCGCTGTACTCCCTTGGATTATGATGCCTCTCCTCTTTGACAAGTTTCAGTTCTTCTTCAAGGGCTGGAGATCTTCTTTGTCTCTTATCTCTTTCCTCCTGAAGTTGCTGTATCTTCTGCTGGTACTGATTGTTTTCTCTTCTAATCTGATTCAGTTCTTTCTTCAGCTCAGCATCTCTTTCCTCCAAGGCCATTTTTTCACTTTTGCAGTCCTCCAATTCAGACACGGACATCTTCAAAAATGATACATTCTCAACAAGTTCATTCTTCTCTGCCTTCAAATCTTCGCATTCGTTGGATCTTGCGAGCACAGACACTTCAAGTTTCTCTTTCTCAATCTTGGTTTCATCAAGCTCGTTCTTAAAAGCTAAAATCTCAGCCTCAAGATGAGCTAATTTCTGCAACTGAACCTTTAGATGGGCAGATTCTTCAACCAGTTCTCGCCGTTCAGATTCAAGAGCTCTGAGCCTTATTTCAAGATCATTTACAACGCTCTTCAGTTTTGCTTCACCAGATTTATAGTTCTCCGACAACTTTGAGAGTTTTTCATGGTCTTGATTGGAAGCAGCAAGTTCACTGGAGAGGCTTTTTAACTTCACTTCATAATCTTTTTGCTTGATTCTGAGCTCATCCTCGGTTTTCTTAATTTTAGATCGAGCTTGTTGAAGGTCTGCATCCAGTTTCGTGTTATCTGCGCGTAATCTGGATAGTTCCTCCATGGCATCAGAAGAGATTCTTTCATTTTCCTCATGTTTCGCTGAAAGTTTATTTATCAGAAGTTCTACCTCTTGCTGAAGATTCTCTACTTCGACTGCTTTCTCCATATACATCTGATTCAACAAGTTCTCTTCCTGATTAAATTTCTCTTTATGTCTCAAGTTTTCGTCAACAAGAGCAACTATTTCTGAAGCAAAGCACTTCTCTTTCGAAGCAAATTCTGCAAGCACTGAAGACAGACATTGTTCTAATTCATCAACTCTTTTGGAGCAATCTGTGAAACTTAAATGTGATTCCTCCAACTTCGCCTCCAAGAGGGAACAGCGGTTATGCAACTCCAGCTTTTCATTACTCAATTCTTCTTTCGATTTCTGAAGAGAATTGCACTCTTCAAGAAGGCTTTCAACAGTAGACTGCAACTTTGGATTTGCCCTTCTCAGATATTCACATTCTTCTTGAACTTCTAACAACTGATCTTCCATGTTCTCCAATTTTTGTTTCGCAGTTTCTTTTTCAGATGCCATCTCAATTCTTAATCTATTAATCTCATCCTGGAGAGTCATAGAATGAGATTTGGACTTCTCTAGTTCCAATTGACTGGACTCTTGCTCACTTGTCAAACATCTTAATTCATCTTCCAGACTAGCTACGAGCTCTGATAACTTCGCATTTTCTCCTTCAAGCTCTGACACATGAAGCTCGAGTTCTCGATTACCAGTTTCTAGCTCCGAAGATTTTCTTTCAAGTAACTTGTTGGCAGAGATATGGGGGTCCATACTGCTGGTAAGCACTGCCAAATCGTTTCGCAAGTCATTCAAACACTTGGAGGTTATCTCACTTTCTTGTAGCACAACTTCCATGTGTTCTTGAAGTTGAGTTTTGTCCCTTTGAAGATCAGAAACCTTAGCCTCTAGTTCACTTTGACTCTTCCTAAGAACCGAAATCTCCTCTTCCTTAGACAGCAAGTCAATATGAAGTTTTTCCACTTCAGACCTTTTTTCGGGCAAATCGTTATCCATCTCCGCCAATCTAGCTTCTGGTTCCATTTTCAAGCTCTGAAGTCGTTGAACCGAAGCATTATCATCATTTGCTTTCACACTCAGTTCAGCATCATTTGTTCGGAATTTCTGTCCACTCAGTTGGAACTCAAAGCTGGTTAAAGTGTTAGTTGAAACCTCACTGTGCGGAGACTCAAAATGAGCATTACTCCTCATCGCGCCTTTCTTTGATTCCTTGAGCTTGAACAAGAGTTCGAGGTTTTCTTCGGTCAACTCATTGCAGTCCCTCTCGAGCTCCTGCACCTTTTCCTTCAATTCTTCAATCTCATTCATCAAATTTACATCACTGCCATTTGTGGAGCCCATTTCAGCAGAATATGTGATACTGAGAGACCCTAATAATTTTGCTTTTAGATTAACAATTTGTTCTTCTTTATCTAGTAACTTACTCTTAAATTCTGTCTCAAGATCCAAAAGGGTTTGACTGTTGAGACTCTCTGCCTTCTCTATCTCTTGGTTTTTCTCCTCCAACGCCTGTTCGAGCTGTTTCACTTCGATGTTCAAATTCTTCTCTACCTCCTGCATCTTTTGGATCTGGTCTGTTAATCTCTTATTTTCCTCTACATTGACATCTGTGATTTCCCCCATATCACCGACTTTCGATTGTAGTGCTAGAAGATCTTCTATTTCTGTTTTCTGCTTGTCAATTGTCTCTTCCAGCTCCTGAAGAACAGAAACAAGCTCAATATTTGACTCTTGAGTTTTCTTCAACTGCAGGGCGAGATTGGCATTCGATTCCTTTTGAAACTTCAGTTCATCTTTCAACTCCTTTTCGATAAGGGGAAGATCTTCTCCTAGAGAAGTTAAATTCCCTGAGGATGTTTGTTTCACCATCGACTTTTCTAAGGAAAATCTTAACTGTTCAACTTCCTTCTTCAAATCGTCACGTTCGTCGTAGGCTGCTAGGAGCTCCAAATTCAAATTTTCCTGAACTTTTGACTGATCAGAAAATTCTCCCCTCAGTATGTCCAAATCCAGCATTAGCTTCCTGGCATTCCTCTCCCACATCTTAGCTTCTGCACGCAGCTCCTCAATCGTACCTTCTGCAGTGTCTCGGAAGTTTTTAGCGGAACTTGTGGTTGTTAAAGAAGATGCTGGAAACTCCTGCCTAGAATTCTCGGAGATATTCATCTGTGAATTAAATGATGCAGGCTTCGAAAGGGTGACACTATTTTCAGAGCCGATTGAATCAGCTCGCCTAACTAGGCTGTGCACATCACCACTATGGTCCCCAACAGATACATCTTCCGAACCTTCAGTGTCATAGCTTTTATGCGACTCTGATAAAGAAAAACTTGTTTCCTGCAAGGCACATGGAATTCACATCATTTTCGCCGTAACAAACGACTGGTTAAGAGTATGTGCAGGGAAGTTCCTAGACATGGTGCACATTACAAGACAAAATGAACGTAATTCATGTATATATGACCATTAATCAAAGTTTTAGAACACATTTAATTACATAAAGACTAGTATTCATATGTATATGTATATATATATATATATATTATATGTATATATAGTACATATCAACGCGTCAAGAAGATAAGCTATATATTTTTGTGAGGTATCATAAAGGGTATTTCCTATTGTTTTAGGATCATTATACATTAATCCTCAAAAGTTGTTTTGTGTAAGCATGAGAAACTCACTCTTCATAGTTTTCTCCTCTCCAAATGCTAGAACATTCTCTTAAATTATACAAGTACAAAAGCATCACGAGCACGGAGAGATAGATAATAGCATTGTAGGTCTTATAAGAATCACAGAAAATGCTCTTTATGGTCAATACACAAAGAGATAATGCCAATAGCCCGTTATGAGAGGAAAATGTAATCTTACTCTACTCCCAGGTTCTCCTGGATTTGAGATCAAGCGGAAATCTTTAGCGGCAGAAGATCCAAGACTCCTGGCAACTGTACTATCAGACACCGATCCATCTGACTTCGTGTCTATATCATGAGAGTTTCCATTAGGCTTCTCTAAATCATAGTTTCTCTCTTTTGAATCTTCATCCCTGAAAAAAAACACGTAGAAAAGCTTCATAATCACGCAGAAAATCAGACGTGTAATTCAAGTCTGAAGAATGGCCTTTTGTAATACTAGCCTGGAGTTTGTTCTTGGTGTTACACACTGAATTTTTACCTGCAAATCAGATCAACAAGCCAAAAAAGAAAAAATTAATAATGATTTTGATAAATAACTACCACATGAATTTATTTTCCAATGAGAGAAAAGGAAGCTATAACATACTAGTATTTAGAAAATAAATGACAATGAAAAAATAGCGTAGAATTGTAAACTTACTTGTAAAGTTGTTCCATAACTGCACTTTTTTAAGGACAGTGAGACAGGAACAGAAGCACTTGTACTCATATAATCTGTCATATTAACTGTAGCGTCTCCAAGGATGCCAGATCTAGCCGATCCCTATAATACGAAATTAATTCACTAAATTCAACATTCAGAATCAAAGTTGTGATATTGGTTAGCGAAAAGGTAATAACATCGAAGAGCAAATTATATTTCTTGATCAAAATAAACCCGACTTAGCAAAAATCAGGAACTGGGGATGCTAATTTTGAAAGATGAGAGTAATGACATACCATGAAAACAATAAGCTTGAAAGGGCAATCCTCCATTTCTTTTGAAGAACCGTCTTGCGAAACGCGAATCGACTCTGACAAAGTCTCGCTCCATTGACAATTTCCATTGTGCACGGCCGCTTTGCTCGTCTTTGCAATGGTTTTCCCAGTTTCTACAGAGACAACAGACACAACCAACTTGTCCCATCCTTTGGGCACCTAAATCACACATGTAAACTACAAGTAAGCACACATTAAATAGAAAAAAATATTGCATTATGAATCTACTACTCAACCTATGTCTAAAAGACATTAACATGACTATTTATTGAATGATTAAGGTCCAAATTATAATGAGGACTTTCAAGCAAAAAAAATTACAATAAGAACTTGAATGACATAGTACACGACAATCGAGGGGGTCACAAGCTTAGCCTAATGGTATTTTCACACTCACTCAAGCTTACCACTAATATTAATAATGTCCTATATGTGAATGTCTCACCCTATTAAAAAAAAAAAAAAAAAAAAAAAAAGCATTGTAAAAAGCAAAGAGTTTTAATTGTATGTCAAAACTTTTTTTCTTTTTTTGAGGGGCAAAACGTAGAGTTTTGGTATATACTAAATTCTGGAAAATTGGAGATGCCCTTGTAGGCATTTTTTTATTTGTAAATTTCTAACTACAGAAAAAAAGAGTATTAATGTTGATGAAAGTTGTTCTGGTAAAACTTAAACTGATCAATATGATTTTTTTGGCTAACTCTGATAACAATACTAACAATTTAAACGATTCAGGCAAAAAATAAATAAATAAATAAATAAACGATACCCAATTGGTATATTTTACAGATGAACCATAAAATCAATCAATTCCTCAGATGCAGAGCTACATTGCCATTTAAAAAAAAAAAAAAGAAAAAATGAACTTCTAATTCATCATTGTCAAAAAAAGTGTAAACATAAATAAAAATAAAATACCTGAAGGGCCTTAAAGCTGGAGAATTTGAAATCAAGTTTGTCTCCTGATTTAGCTGCCTGCCTGTGCCTATGTAACCTCAACATTATTCTTTCCTTTCTTTATCTCTCTCTCTCTCTCTCTCTCTCTCTCTCTCTCTCTAGAATTCTTCTCAGTGCTTTCTTTTGCTCAATTCTCCATTGTCTTCACAACCAACATTACCAAACCAGATAGAGAGAGAGAGTGAGTGAGAAACTGATGGAAAGAGGGAGAAACAGAGCGTTAGCTGAGTGGTCAGTGTTGAGAAGGGTGTTATTTAATTTTCATGGCGTTTCTTAAACTTTCAGTGACCCAAAAAAATAAAAAAAATAACAATAACAAAAAAATAATAAAAAATAACAATAACAAAAAAAAAAAAACTGAATGTCAAAAAGTCAGCGCAGAAATTCAGATCGTTGACCAGAAACGCTTCTGATTGGCTGTAGAGAGTCGGGAGTCAACCGGCGCTAAAACACTAAACAGCGCCACGTTTCCCGGCACACGATAGCACAGAAAGCAAAAGAGAGAGAGAAAGAGATAGAGAGCAGAACAACCCGGAAGAGAACGAATGTCCCTTTCGCTAACTGCCTAAGCAACGAAAACGTACCAAAAGTGATTATTAGAGATTTCAAGGTTTTTTTATTTTTATTTTTATTTTTATTTTTTGGTTCGATTAGAATATTTTTGGATTAAAATTTAAAATTAAAGAGGTTTTGGTGAGGCTTAGTTGGAGAGAATATTGCTTCGTTTGTTAGTTGTTAAATGCTAAGAGGGCGAGTAGGGCAAGAAAGAGAGAGAAAGAGTTGTGTCGTTTATTTATTAAGATCCTTTTATGGTAGATTTTTATTTTTTTATTGCGTGTTTCTTATATTAAATTGAGCAGTGCTAGGACATTATCTCATATATTAATTTTTACATAATGTGAGTTGTTATTTATTTATTAATAGATATAATATTAATTGACATGATAATATTTTAAATACGCATTTATAAAAAAGTGATAACTTATAGATCACATCAATTAATACATAAAAATTAAAATTTGAGTTGATGTCTCAAACATTATTCAATCAAATTTAATCAAAATCACATTTAAATGAGAAAGAAATTAGTATTAGCATTAAACTATTATTTTCTTGTAGAATATTGTGTTCTTTTGTTGTTTAATTGTTTTATGTGTGTGTGTTCGTTTTATTTATTATTATTTTTTTTTTTTGGGAGAAATAATTGTTTCTTGTGTTGGAATTATATGCTTAGAGTGTATCAGCAGTTGTAGATATTCCCTAGATCTTCTGTCCCCACGTTGGGCGATGCCTTCCATTTATATCTCAACCGTACTCTAACTCCTATCAACTTGTCTACTCTACCCCTTTTCGTCGTTTAGTCTCGTTGATTTTATTATTTTAAATTTTAAATTTTAAATTTTAAATTTTTACAGTAAAAAATTTTTAAAAAATGTCACATTTAATTTTTTTTATTATAATAAAAAATTTTTAAAAAATATCATATTTCAATTTAAATTAAAAACTTGAAACGAGGCCTTTATTTATTTACTGGAAGACTGGGCCTTCTCAGTTCCCACTTAGAAATTCTAACTAGTTGGGCTTTACGGCCCACGAAGATCTTCCATCAATTGGACTTTACTGCCCAACATTGTATACAATTGAAAGGGAAAAATAGAGAATTTATCTTGAGAGAATTTATCTTTTATTTTTAATAAATATTTTTTTATTAGTTTAATTATTTGATTAAAATATTATAAATTAAGAGTAAATGATAAAAATTTTGATATGTATATGTTTAAGGGATATTTATCAAGATTACTTTTAAAATGGAGATAATGGCAAAATTTTATGCTTTTTGAGTGAAAATTAACAAAATTTTCAGAATATTATAGGTATAAGAAAAATGACATAATCATTATCATAATAATGTCATATTTTATACTCTATAGTGTATAATGATATAGTTATTATTTTAATAATATCAAATTTTTCTATACGCGTAAAGAGCCCAATTTGAATGAGACTCTATACGACTATACCACTTTAGAGGGGAGACGAATGCCTCTTAGGCTCTTACCACTCTTGATAACGGGAGAAATCCATAAATGTCAGTTAAATAATGCTATATCTATATTTATACCACCCAATGGCATAAACTTTTTAATTTACACTACTTAATTTACTTGAAAATAACTAATCTATTTATGTTCAGTGCTATAAATTTAAAGTTTTTTTAATTTTAGCACTATGCCATGTAATTTCATCCTTAATAAACAGTTTTTTGAGTTGTAAACTCCACGCTACCCTCTTTAGCCCCAGAAAAAAAAAAAAAACCCAACTAAGTTGTTACTTAATTATAAAATGAATTAAGCTTTCAAGAAACAAATTCCTTAAAACTTTTACCCTAAATTATGCCGTGTGTTATACTTTGTTTTCCGATCTTTATTTTTATAATAGCGTCCCCCAATTTACATTTCATTATAAAAAATAAACCTCTTTTGTTGGTTTGAAGGACGGAGACTACCACATGAATGGCCATGACACATAAACAGTCATCAAGTTGAAGAAATTTAAATTGACACCGCCGCTGCCATACACACATATTTCAGACTAAGTTCCTCACTCAAATTTCTTCGATCATAGTTGCTACATTGTTAAACATCGAAAAATTAAGTTATATATTTTAATTTGTGAACGGGCATCATTTAAAAGTAACACTTTTTTTTTTTTTTTTAAGAGAATTATGGAATTTGGTTGGTTAGTATCAAAGTATTTGGTGGCTCTTCACATGTGGTTTAGAGTGTCTTTTTTTTATGAAGCTTTTGAAAGGCTCTGAATCCAAAACTTCCAATGAGTTCAAAAATCCAAGTGACTCATGCATGTCTTTAATCTTTATTTCTCATTTTCATGAGAGCATATTGATATATAGTTGCATAATCACTTTGTAAACTCCAAGACCGTATGGAAATAGTCAATATAGAACGCTTGGAAATGTGGGAAGCCAGCCGCGAGACCAAGCTTCCTGTATTCATCTTCAGTCCTGTGCTTTCCCTTGGCCCTGTAGATTGTCATCACAAATATGTCTCCTGAAAGAAGTGCACGAGTCCTATGGCTGTCGTCGGTTTCCTTCGGCAACACCGGCTCACAGGCTATCAACTTGCCTCCTCCTGGGACCGCCTTGCAACAACTCTCCATGATAGCTTGGCATTCATCATCCGTCCATGTTGTTAAAATCCACTGCATGATGCCCAAAACAACACAAATTAAGCAAAATTCATTATAATATTCTTTTATGAGCGACATATGGTATAATAGAATATGAGTCTCGCGTTATGACTTTATAAACAGGAAGCGTTTTTTTTTTTTTTTTTTTGTCTTAACTTTCTCATTTGATCAAGATATAAATACCTTGTCATAACATATTACATTATTAGTCATTATTGGGGTCCCATGTTTTTTTTTTTTTTGTCTTTTATTCCTGATTTCTTTTCATTAGTCACAAGTCACAACATAGAAGAACACAAGAGAATTATGGAATTTGGTTGGTCAGTATCAAAGTATTTGGTGGCTCTTCACATGTGGTTTAGAGTTTTTTTTTTTTTTGTTTGTTTGTTTTTTTTGTTTGTTTTTGTTGGAAAATGAACATGCGGTTAAGAGTTGAACTTAAAAGTTATAATCTTTCTCTATAATGAAAAATATATTTTTTTTTCCCTTTCAGTCGCTTGGTGATTAGTCCAGCTCATGATCCAAAGGTTGATGGGGTCCAAGACTGAGATGCATCATCTCAACCAAGAAATGACTCGTAGAAAACAGACAAAAGAAAGTCCAAAATTGACATCATTTTTTATCTAAAATATATATATTATAGATATATTGCTGACATAAGAATCAGATATGCACATGGCCTCACACGAGTTTTGCCTCATTTATTTTATCAATTCGAGTTTTCAGTTTTAGGTTTTTACAGTTAAAAATTTTAAAAAAATGTCACATTTAACTTTTTTTACTACAATTAAAAATTCTCAGAAAACATCACATCTCAGTTTAAATTAAAAATTTGAATCTGCAAAACGAACGAGCCATTCAAATATGAATTATGAAGTGATTCTCTACATATAAAATATACCAAAAAAAAAAAACGATGCCATTTTAGGGTTGAGCTTGATTTGGCATTGTAGCAAGTGACTCAACTTGGAAACAAAACCATTCATAGCTTACTAAAATACATGTATGTAAATGGTCCATTCAAGAAAGAGCCTAATTGAATTGGGAAAAATTAAATATAAATAGATACTCAATAACCATTGAAAAATGAGATCCATTAACTTATTATGAATTTATTCTATATTATGATTATCCAAAGAAAGTGAGACGGAGAAATGGGAGAGTTCTTAAACGACATACCTTCATGAAAATGGCATCAGCCTCGGGAATCAACTTGAACATGTCACCACCAACATGCGTCACTCCTGCCCATTATAATAAATCTCCAATTATCTCGAACTTGTTTTTTTTTTTTTCTAATGTTTTATTTTTTTAAGAATGCCGATATTTTTTATTTATTAACTTTAAGATTTATATTAAATTTGATTAAAAAAATAATATAGATTTAAAAATTGATAAGTAAAAATATTCGTGTTTTAAAAAAATAAAAAACACAAGAAAAATTCTCAATTTTTGACTAAATTTAATACAAATTTTATAATTGATAAACATGAAACATCAATGTTCTAAAAAAACACAAGAAAAAGTCTCAATATAATTAATGTACTTTTAATGAAATTTTATTGTTAAAAATTCATATCGGGCCACTTAACTAAAAAAAAAAAAAAAAATCAATTCATGCATCTGAAACTTATCAGAATTTGATACCCTCAATACTTTTATTTTAATTAACGATACTCTAAATTCGAAAATCCCTTACAATTGGAGTCCAATTGCCAACAAACATCAATTCATGGACATAAATATCCCACGATATTTGCCCAAATCTACTCCAAGTTTTTCTCCACTTAGACAAACTAGACTTGAATTTTTATTTTTAATTTTTTTGATAAGTTAATTGCCCTTCATTACTTAGCTTCCATTATGAATTACGTTGTATAGCAAAAAATTGTTAAATTTAAACTTTAGAATATAATATTAAGAAACATAATATATTTATTCAACAAAAAATTGACAATAGCCGAGAGAGAGAGAGAGAGAGAGAGAGAGAGAGAGAGAGAGAGAGAGAGAGAGAGAGAGAGAGAGAGAAATCTGACCAGGAACATGTGGCGCTCTAGCGACCACTTCCGGCAGATCAAAGTTGATGGCTTCCGTTACATTCGGATATTTCTGAAGGATCATCCGCAGGCAATCCCCTGCACTACCTCCCACGTCAACCAATCTCCGAACCCCTTCAAACCCATCGTAGCCGTTCAATATCGCCTTCATGAACGGCACAGACACGCCCGACATCGCCCTCTGCATCAAGCCGTTCATCTCCGGCATCTTCCCGTAGTACTTGTACGCCGGTTCCCCGTTCGCTTTCGCGAACGGCTCCGTCGTAGGGTCCACCACCGCTTCATGGAGTAATGACCACGCTCTCATCAGCGCATCCTGCGAAATCCTTTATTAGAGGGAATTTTTATGAAAGAAAATACCGTTGTAAAAAGGTTTAAATTGTTGTCCAAATTAACGACCCCTAATACAATACCTGGTGGTGTTGGAGCACGTAGGGAGCGTAGGAGAGGCCGTCGGAGTCAGTGACGAGAGTTTTTCCGACATCGGTGAGGGAATACTTCCTGATCTCGCCGGAGATGTGCTCGGAGAAGACGCCGTAGCTAGTGAGGGTGCGGAGGAGGCGCTGGAGGTTGTCGGGATCTGCGGAGGCGGCGGAGGAGGAGGAAGAGGGGAGGACACGTGTGAGGATCTGGGAGGCGGAGAGAGGAGAGTTGGAGCCGGATTGCCAGATGGCGTCGGGGACGCCGAGGCGAACGACGGCGTTTAGGGACATGGGGACGCTGATCATGTTGGCCAGTTCTAGTACCTTTAGCCTGGCTTGGTTCCTCTTCTCGCTGCTTTCGTCCTCCATTTCCCTACTACCAATAATACCACTGCTTCTGACCTGAGACTCTTAGGTCAAGTCCTGTTTGTTTGTTTTATATGTGTCAGGAGACGAATAAAAAGGGTGGAAGAAGACGAAGCGGGTTTGCTCATGTGGTTGGAGTGTCGCTACGTAGGAGGACCAAGGTCTACTTGATCCCTTTAAATGAAGGGAAAAAAAAAAAAAAAATGGAAAAAGAGAGAATAGGGATACTCACGCTCACGCACGTGGTGTCTGCTCTCATTTTGTGGAGCTTTGGGGCCCAACTGAGAGTCTCAGCCACTTCAGTGATGATAGTATCTATTTATTTATATTTAGGCATCGTTTACTTCACGAATTTAAGTTTTTAATTTGAACTGAGATGTAATATTTTTTTAGAGTTTTTTACTGTAACAGAAAAAGTTAGATGTAATATTTTTTTAAAAATTTTTACTGTACAAACCTAGAACTGAAAACTCGAATCGATAAAATGAACGATACCCTTAATTTTTCCAAATTCAATTACAACATAGGCTCTTTCTTGAATGGGCCATTTACATACATGTATTTTAGTAAGCTTTGAATGGTTTTGTTTCCAAGTTGAGTCAGTCGCCACAGTGCCAAATCAAGCTAAATGTCCGTTTAGTTCGCTGATTTAAGTTTTTAATTCAAGTTGATATGTAATTTTATGTGAGAGTTTTTTATTATAACAAAAAAGTTAGATGTGACTGTTTCTGAGAGTTTTTTTTTACTGTAGCAAAACTCGAATCAGTGAAATGAACGGTGCCTAAAATGACATCGTTTTTCTTTTTTTTTTTTTTTTGGTATATTTTATATGTAGGGAATCACTTCATAGTTCATATAAGAAATATGTCTCGTTCACACGTATTCGAGTTTTTAATTTGAGTTGAGATGTGATATTTTTTAAGAGCCTTTAATTGTAGTAAAAAAAAAAGTTAAATATGACATTTTATAAGAGTTTTTCACTATGGAAACTTAAAATTAAAAACTCGAATTGATTAAATGAACGAGACCTAATTAATTTAAGTAACACAAATGTATTAATCCCATCATAAATTAGGTGTTATATATCCACTCATTGAAACTCACTTTGTGTGAATAGCAAGATTTTAACCTCATAAAAATGAATAAGAGTGCTCGGTAAGTAATAAAGATAATGGACTTTTTCAAGTAAAGTATATTTATCGACAGAACTAGTTTTTTTATTCTGAATTTGATTAAAATCACATCAAATTAAAAAGTATGTAAAATAAACAGTTTTTGATATAGATCATACGACTGAAAATATAGGAATACAGATAGTCATATTTTCTTCTGATCCTCTCAAAAAAACTCCCTAATGATAATTAAAATTATCCTTATTTTTTAGCATGTATGTCTCCCAAAATTGGGAATTTCTACAACGGCAACTATAATTCTGCACTATCCGTAGGTATGTTGTTTCAATGGTCTGATTTATAGATAAGACTAGTTTTGAGTTGTGTGCGGCACATTTTTAACATGTATATTCATAAATCAGACCTTTAAAAATTTAGTCAAACATAATAGCCACGAATACAATGAAGAAAAAAAAGACGTTTCTATCATAAAATAAATATTTCTCTTGTGGGGTATATCTTATTTATTTTATTTTTGCACGGATTCTCATAAAAAGTCTCGTGAGGTATACCTAATTCATTTCATTTTTGCACCGGATTTAAATTATAGTATGATTTTGGCTCGTTAAAAGAGAAGTTATGTCACGCCCCCCAAACGGGGTGGGTGACGTGGAGCTCGATTAGGGATTAATAAAGCAGATTCCCAGACCGGACCCCACACTTAACTGCATTACAATATAACTGAATTACATAATCAAGGAGCCTCTGACACACATGGCTCCACCCCACAGGACATACAGTATCGTACATACATGCTCATGTAATTAATCATTACAATAGACATTAACCACAGTCTAGTGAATCCAAATATTACATAAGTTTACAGAATTCTCAAATTCCTTACATTTGTCCAAGAGGATGTTCACGATCCTCACTTGATTCCAACAGCAGCACAACTCAGCTGCTCCGTAGCAAATATCCAGCTACTGTGCACCGCTCCTCGAGTATCCTGGGAGGGGTTTAACATTTAAAACATAAAACGTGAGTGAAAGGCCCAGTAGGATATAATATTTGGAATATTTAAAATAAATGAGCGCATGGATAAATAATTGAATACATAAATAAAATAAAACATTCAGTCCCGACAGAACAGCCAGAACCTCACATCCTTTTTCTCAAAGGAAATATAATCGTAAATAACCGTTTTACAGGCTTCAGCAAGTAATTAGTACAAATTACTTACCTAACCAAGTGCCTCGCCTACCGGACCGGTTTCGGGTTCTGCCCCCGAGGATGCACTCTCCGCATCCTATCTAGGCTTACAGCAATAGACTCTATTACCAGTTCACAAGATCTCTTATCTTAAGAAATCATCCATTTAACATTATGAAATCGTTCATATGACCCCACGAACTAC